CTGTAATCTCAGCACTTTTGGGAGGCTGAGGTGGGAGGATCCCTTGAGCCCAGGAGTTCGAGGCTGCAGTAAGCTATGATCACGTCAATGTGTAGAGTGAGATCCTGTCTCTTTTTTTTTTAAAAAAAAAAAAAAAAAAGCAGTGATCTAAGATTTTTTAAGGTCTATATTGAGATTAAGAACCTTTTTAGAATCAAGGCATTGATATAATTTAAACACCAATAACTGGGTGAAAAACAAGACTAGGACAACTATGAATGCATTTTCTTTAACAACTTCTGAGATTAATTACCATCAGCTGGTTAATTCATTCTAGTGGTACAGGCACTAACAGGAAATGCTCTTGAAACTGTAAAATATAACTGATAAATAACGCATAATAAAACTAACATTAACCACTAAAAACTACTCTTTCTTTCTAAATGTGTTACGATGGTTGCCCTCATCTAAATAATACAAAATCTGTACTTGAGTAAGAAAACAATGAAGAGTTTGATTCAGTTCTTGAGTATTCTTCAATAAATTTTCTATGTACTTAGTATCTGTGTATGTGTGGGGGGTGTGTGTATACGTAAACACAAGAAAGATAACATTACCCAAACTGATGTGCCTTTAAAAAAAGTCATACATCCATATCTGTACATCTGAATCCACCCTCATCCTTCCTAAAAGCAGCCCTGTTCTCCTGGGTGCCTGTCCTGTGGTTTATTTGATCAGTCCCCTGCAGGCAGACATTTACGTTCCCGTTTTCAATGTGACAGACAATGCTGCAGTGAACTTTCTTGCCCAGAAATCTGTGTTCTGAGAGCAGATCTAAAGGACGAACTAAGAACTGTAGGGTCAGAGAGGACATACACTGTAAATATTAACATATGTACCGAACTGGCCCCCAAATCTTCAATTTATCCTTTCACCACCTTTGCATCAGATGCCTAAATACCTTTCTTCACACTAGGTCTTACTACAATGTTTTAACTCACTGCCAGTTTGATAGAAGAATCTCAAAATGAGCATTTCCCCAAGTTTATTGACTATCTGTACTTTTTCCCAATGAACAATCTGTTTGCACTCTGTCCATTTCTTCTCCTGAGCTGTTCTTTTTCTTACAAATGTGCAATTCTCTGTGTATTAATGGAACGAACCTATATCTGCCCCATGTTAGAAATATTTTTTCTAGTTTATTATTACTTTTTGACGTAAATGTATCAATTCTCTCCTTCATGGCTGCTAGACATCCTATAAGGCTTAGAATGGCCTTCCATATTTCAAGGTTTTTTTCAAAAAAATGTTGCGTACATTTTCCCCAAGTACTTTAAAAAAAAAGCTTTATAATTTTCCAAATTAAACTGTTCAGTCCATTTAAAGAATAACACACTATATTCCTTTCACATTTACAATTCTAGTCCAAACTGTAGCCAAGTGGACGTTTTTGCTGATAACGGGCTCTCTCACCTACACTAAGGAAGACAGCAATCACAGTGGTCATGGCAACGAACTCCTTGACACCAGGTACTTCACTTCTGATGGCTGAGTAAGAATCTAGAACCCAAGGGCACCCCAAGCAATCCAAAATTAGGAGTTTTAAGAAAAACAAAAGAAGGGCCGGGCGCGGTGGCTCACACCTGTAATCCTAGCACTCTGGGAGGCCGAGGCGGGGGGACTGTTTGAGCTCAGGAGTTCTAGACCAGCCTGAGCAAGAGCAAGACCCCGTCTCTACTAAAAATAGAAAGAAATTAATTGGACAACTAAAAATATATAGAAAAAATTAGCCGGGCATGGTGGCGCATGCCTGTAGTCCCAGCTACTCGGGAGGCTGAGGCAGGAGGATTGCTTGAGCCCAGGAGTCTGAGGTTGCTGTGAGCTAGCATGACGCCACGGCACTCACTCTAGCCCGGGCAACGGAGTGAGACTCTGTCTCAAAAAAAAAAAAAAAAAAAAAAAAGAAAAACAAAAGAAAGTGCTAATTTACATATTAGGTTATAAATTTATCAACTAATTACTCTGATGTGTAGTACAGATGAAAAATATAAAATCAAGGAAGGCTCAAATAAATTAAAACACAGCAGGCTCAAAGTAAGTTATTCAAGCAGTTTTTCTTTAAAAAGATATGACTTAAAGAAAACAGTACAACACTCAGAAAGCTGGATGCCCAGGAGCTGAACGTGGGGCTTTAACTGGACTTGTGGGAAGAGAGGCAAACTTAGACTGATTGATGCTGGGAAGAGTGAACGGATACTGGCTCGGAAGCCGGCACCGCACACGGAGAGGAAGAGATGCAACCTTGAGAGAGAGTGTGCCCTGCAGGGCCTGGTGGGTGGAGGAGAGGCCCCTGCTTCTCCCACATACTTGCCCTCTAGACAGAACTGTCCCCTGGGAGCGAGCACATGCCATACAGAGTGAATAATCAGAACATCCCAAGAAGTACATCCCTGGAACAGACATAATATTTTCTTAATGACATTCAGAAAATGAAAGAATGGGCAAAACCTAATAGTAAAAATTTTAAAAGCTACCAATTAATAACAGTCACCTGGTTTCTTACTCATAACATCTTTCATGGTATTCATAAAATGTACCATAATTTTGGCCTATTTAAATTGTTCTCATATGCCAGATAACAGAGATCAGAGACAGATGTTAAAAATATTTTCACTTAAGTTACATTCAGGCCAGGTGCGGTGGCTCACGCCTGTAATCCTAGTACTCTGGGAGGCCGAGGTGGGAGGATCGCTTGAACTCAGGAGTTCGAAACCAGCCTGAGCAACAGTGAGACCCCGTCCCTACTAAAAATAGAAAAAATTACCCAGGTGTGGTGGCCCACACCTGTAGTCTCAGCTACTCGGGAGGCTGAAGCAGGAGGATAGCTCGAGCTCAGGAGTTTGAGGTTGCTGTGAGCTAGGCTGATGCCATGGCACTCACCCAGGCAACAGAGTGAGACTGTCTCAAAAAAAAAAAAAAGTTAAATTCAAATGCTCAAATTAATTATGAACATGCTTTCTGAATTTGTTAATTCTACTATCAGTGCATTTTTGTTTTGCCTTCATAAGATTTGATTAAATTCAACATTAGATTGGATAAGTAAAATCCAACTTTAAAAAAATTATCTAATAAATAACCTTGATGAAAAAAATTTAGACTTATACTAATCAGTTTATATTACTACATTTAAATACCATGGAAAATATTTCATAACAGAACAAGACTTGAACCTGATTTTGAGTTTATGCTCATTAGCTTTAGTGCTCCAGCCTATTCTGAGATAATGGCTGAAGAAGATCCCCTAAATTAAAATAAGATGAATATTTCTATTTTTTTTTTTTTTTTTTGAGATAGAGTCTCACCGTGTTGCCCGGGCTAGAGTGTTGTGGCGTTATCCTAGCTCACAGCAACCTCAAACTCCTAGGCTCAAGCAATCCTTCTGCCTCAGCCTCCCGAGTGGCTGGGACTACAGGCATGTACCACCATGCCCGGCTAATTTTTTCTATATATTTTTAGTTGTCTGGTTAATTTCTTTCTATTTTTAGTAGAGACGGGGTCTCGCTCTTGCTCAGGTTGGTTTCGAAGTCCTGAGCTCAAACAATCCGCCCGCCTCGGCCTCCCAGAGCGCTAGGATTACAGGCGTGAGCCACCGCGCCCGGCCGATATTTCTATTTTTTGTTTCCTTCACTTGTTCCTATGATCACCTCATTATAATTACCTTTTATTAAGATGTTGCCCTTTACTTAATGTGAACCCATTTCACAGATGTCTTGTGTAACCCACTGAACTGCAACTGGGTGGACCCTTGTTCCCAGGAGACTCTACTACTTGGGGACATTTCAGGTTGTCACACTGAGGGGGTGCTACTGTCATGGGGCTGGAAGGCTGCTGAACATCCTGCAGTGCACAGGATGAGGAAGTATCAGGCCTCAAATGTCAATAGTGTTCAGGTTGAGAATCCCTGGGAAAATTTCAATAAGGTATACTGGTATTTCTTCACATTTCACAGTGAGTAACCTTTGACCAATGTTCTCAAGTATTAAAAAGGAACAAAATATAGAAAGATATTCTTCAACTACAGTGATCATCCTGACACTGAATTTTAAATATCTGGGTCAGACTAATTTGTAACTCAGAGTGTTTACAAAAAGCTATTTTAAAATGTATAAAATCTGCAGTTAATATATGGTAATATAAACTCTCTTGAAAGGTTAAGATACAGAGATAATTCTGTAAGTAAATAATTATAAGTGATATAAATGTTAGGTTTAATATAATTTAAAACCTTTAAAAAATATCAAGAAATAATATCTCCTAAAGCCCATTCATTTCTAAAGATGTAGGTAGCAACAGTATTTTGATATCTATCTTCTCAGTTTTCTTCTTGTCACTCACTCTAGATAATCATTCAGTGATAAAAGGACTAGGCAAATTCACCTAAACTGGTAAAATTTTAATTAAAAATAATGTAAAATTTCACTGTATTTTTCTCAAATTACTCCACTATCCTAAGTTTTCCGGAAGTACACAATAAGAGTGCCAAGTGCTGAGTGCCTGAATCTGCTAGTGACTTTTACATGCATTGCTTCGACCTGCAGGATGAGGGGCCTCTAGCTCTGGGAATGGAAGCAATGTGCCAAGGTCAGAGAATACATTTTCTGAGCCAGCAGGGGCTTTGACCTTGACCTAAACAAGACAACTCTTTTCTTCTTTCCATGCCTTCATCGAGAAGGTATGTGCAACTTCTGGGGTCTGTGTTCATATCATGACAGACTTCTACAAGCAACTCTGAATTAACACCCTGCCTTTTCTCTTACAATCGATTTTTAAAACAGTCTTCAGCAGGCTTAACAGGTGAGTTTTTTGTTAATACTGAATAGAAATGCCACAAAGAAACCCTAAAAACTACTCTGTTTATGCTTTCAAGGAACAGCAATAGCTGTAATGCATCACAAACATTCACAAATGTGCTTTGCTCTCAGTCAAGCCAGCCACGTCCAGAAGGATGACGTGAGACGTACCTGGTTATTGCTGTTGGCAGCTGACGCGTTGGCTTGGGCTGTACTTGCTGAGAGGGAATCGAGGAAGGCTTGGTCAGCCACTGAATTTCCACAAGAAAATGGATCTTTTCCATCACTGGGTAAAATCTGAATAGCAGAAAGAACCCCAATTATTTTCATAGGTTAGGGTCATTTCAGAGAGTCCCTGAGGGCAAGCGAGAATTGTCACCTACTATGGAAAAGGGTTCATATTCATTGCTACAAATTTCCCACTAAGTGCTTTTGTACATTCTGCATATTTTGATAAGTTGTATTTTTATTTAGCACAAAGTATTTTTTAATTTCTCTTGAGAGTTCTTTGATCCATGAGTTATTTAGAAGTGTGTTGTTTAATCTTCAAGTATTTTGGGGTTTCCAGTTATCTTTCAGTTGTTGATTTCTAGTTTACCATTGTGGTCTGAGAGCAGACATTGTATGACTTCTTTTAACTGTCTTGAGGTATGTTTTACGGCTCAGAATGTGGTCTTGGTTAAAGTCCCACGTGAGCTTGGGATGAACGTGTATTCTGCTGTTGTTTGATGAAGTCTGTAGGTGTCCATAATTGGACATCAACTCAGGGATGGCAGTGTTGAGTTCAACAACGTCTTTACTGACTTTCTGCCTGCTGGATCTATCCGTTTCTGACAGAGGGGGGTTTATATTCTTAGAAGATAAGCAAACCCATGAACGTCTGTAGTAATGATTCTTTTCTGTAAGTAAGAAGAATTCTAGAAAATGCAATTACTGCCAATATCAAATCCTCATATTTTTCTCAATCTTGTCAATTTTTAGACTCCGGGATGCACAGTGCACAGAACTAAAACAAGACATAAACTAAGAGCTGTGGACTGAGTCCAGGGGCCTGTGAACCATCTCAAGGTGTGTGGAAAAGGTCGAGGTGTGTGCCTGGGCCCACATTTCTGAAGGAAAGTGTGGATTTCCTCAGATTCTCCAGAGGGTTCCAGATTCCCCAGCCTTCACTCTCAATCAAGAACAACAGAAAGACAGCCAGGTCCCAGATAAACATCCTCCCAGGGCATTCTTTCCTGGAGGCGAACCAAAGGTACCTTTATTCTTGATCCAGCTCCAATTTTACCAACAGGGCATCAGACAACCTTGGTTTCTCCCTACCACCCGTGAGAGGCAAGCTCACCAAGCAGTGCGTGCTCAGTGCAAGTGACCTATACTCCGCCAGCAGGGGGCGCCAGGCGGTTGGCTCAGAGGAAGGTTTGTCAGCTGCGTGGGTGTGTCCCGGGGCCCAGGCAAGTCAGGTGAGCGCTCACGAGGGGCACGGTAGCAGCACAGCTATCACAGTCGGGCTTAAACCAGGCAATTCTCACAGCAGCTCATTCGAGATACTCTTCTGCTTATGGGAATGGGAGAAGAAACTGAGGTATATATTTTTTAAAAAATCTAAACTTTGTAAATCAGTTGTACAACAAACAGTATCGTAGGCAGCAACTACTATACAGTATCAGCAAAGGAAAAATGGGAACTTTTATTCAGAATAATTAAAAGTTGCTATCCTCAGAAGGAACAATTTAAGTATTTGTAGTCACTTTTTGGAGCTTGGGTCTATAGGTAATAGTTTCCTTAGTTCTGTTTCAATGTAGTTTCCATATTCTCATAATCAGCATTTCTTTCTTTTACGATGGAAATTTTATTTTTACAAAAAGTTGCTGCCTTCCAGTCTATCCTGTAAGTTGATCGTTCATAAAAAGCTGCTTGACAAAGATCAGCTTTAATTAATACACAGCAATAGATTCTTACTTCCACGTAGTCTGTGGGAACAAGCCCTCGTTCTCCTTTGCTGTTTCTTCCTTCCAGCCATCCTCCACCAACATCCTAACAAAGTTACCAAAAAAAGAGAGAGAGAGAAAGAAAAAAGATTATAGTTGGAATTTTCTGCAGAAATCTTGCTTTGGGAACCATTATACATAAAAAAGTAATTAACATTAAGCTTTTTATTTCTACAGAATACTGTTCAAAATTTTAAGTTCTTAAACATTCTCTTTACTCCAGAAAAATGATGTAATCTAAAAACAAGAAAAATGAAACTTCAACAATAAGTGATCAAAGACTGAAGAATAATCTATTACTAGATTACCATCTTTTGTAATTCCTTCCCGTTTACTGGCCTGTGGTAGATGACAAAGTGGTCTGCAGGTCTGACTACTGCAGGTCCAGCAGCAGAATGCATGACCCCAGCCCTGGGATCTGCACTGTCCTTTATGACCTCTCTGGCTGACAGAATCAGGTGAAAATAATCTGGGAGTACTCAGAGCCTGGCCTCTAGGGCCTTTGCACATCTCAGCTCTCTGTTTTGGAACCCAAGCCACTATGTGAATCAATTTGGGTTGCCAGAAGATGACAGAGACGAGGCCCAGTGTCCCCGTTGCTCTATCCGAAACCAGCAAACCTCACAGGAGAACTGCCAGACACACGGTGAGGCCACCTTAGGCCATTCAGCCGCTAGCCGGCTCCAGGTGACTGCAGACGCTTGCACAGCCCAGATCAGCAGAACCATCCAGCTGACCTGTAGATTCCTGAGCAGTAACAAACAGTTATTGGTTTAAAACCACTAAGTTTTGGGATTGTCTATTACGTATGAAAAGATAAATGATCCATGGTTCCTTACTTCTTCCGGATAAATAATATTAGTAAACTAAATAATAAAGTAGAACTCTATACCAGGATTCCCATTTTTCAATCTATTATCTTGGCAAAGTCCTACTTTTTTCCCTTAAAATAGTAAGAGTTTTCTTAAGTTTATAAATAGTGCCCTAATTAGTTAATAATTATCTGAATCTGTGTAACTACATTCTCATCACTTTTTGACCACAATAGCAACCTGAAGACATTATTTTGCCAAGAAAATGAAGAAATACTTCATTAAAAAAAATTAGGTGGGTAGACCTAAGAATCTTTAATCTCTCCTATGGTTAAAAATGGAACCTATTTACTTACATACACCTAGCATATTATCTAAAGTTACTGCATACACTCTTTCTACCCAGTAACTCTTTTTTGTATCTAAAATTATAAAATAGGTTTGTCTAAATACTTTCACTATTAAGAAACCACCATGGCCTCTGCCATTCCTCAGTCTTCCTTGATCTTTGTGCTGCCTCAGTCCTCACTCTCACCTCCCACAGACGGTTAGGGTGGGACACACCTGCATCTCCTCCTTCCCTTCTCTTAAAGGTATCCTCCTCAGCCTTCCTGCCCCTTCCTTGACATGCTTACTCTTAAAGATGGCCAGGGAACCCACCTAGCTCCAGGCCTGATCTCTGGTTCTCCATTTCCAGTTTTGAACAGATGCAAAGCTGTAAGGCAGGGTTGACCATTATTCCTTTCACTCAACATACTCGTAACTAAACTCATTTAATCCTTCCAAAGAAGTTCTTCTGCCTGACTCACGTACTTCAATAAATCCATCATCCTCTCAGGTGCGAAGGCCAAACACTTCAGTGATCCTAGACTCTTTTCCCACCACTAATATCTAATCAAGCACCACGTCCCACAAGCCTGACTCTCTCAGCTTCCTGCATCCATCTTCTTTCAATTCTATTGCCACTACCTAAAGCCATGTCCCTAAACTCTAGCCATACCAAGTCATTCTATTAATTAATCACTAGATTAATTTCCCGGAAGCACAGATCTCATCATGTCATCTCCCTACGACATCGTCAAAAATAAACCCCAGCAAAACCCTTAAATGAATCCACTGCTTACCAAATGAAGCCCAGATCTATAGCCTGGTCCACAGGTGCTGTCTGATCTGGTGCTAAGAGACAGTTTTCTTAGCCCGTTTCCTACTGGTGTTTACATACCCTGTACTCCCGGGACACCTGTTCACATGCAGTGTTCCCCATCAGAGAAGAAAAGCAGATGCTTCAAGGCCAAACAGATGTGGCTTTGACTCCTCGTCTGCCACTTACAAGCAAGTTACTTAATCTCTATGAGTCTCATTGCCCTGGCCTGGAAAACAGATTCACAATACCTATCCCACAGAGTTCAGGGAAAAATAAAGAATATACTTATTTTTTATAAGTATATTCATTATATTAAGAGTATACTAAGTATACATCATACTTAGCCCAACCTGGGGCTCATGAGTGGTAAATAAATGGTAGCTGAGACTGTTAAAAGAAATACCAAATACTTTCAAATCTCTACATCTTTGGATTGACTGTTCTGTCTGGGATGTCTTTCTACTTCTGTCTGATGACATCCTATCCACAAACTTCAAGAGCTATCTAGTCAGATTTCATCTTCTGCATTAAAGCCTGTCCTGATTAAAACACAAATAGAAATAGGCTCTTCCTCTGCTGACCTGCCAACAGCAACTTGTCGACAACTCTGACACTTTTTTGAACACCACCTTGAACTTCTTCTCTTTTATATCGCAAGCTTCTTCCACAAAAGAGGGAAAACTGGATATATCTTCATGTTTACTCCTTAGAGTAGCTAGCACATACCCTCATCCACAGTAGGTACCCAGCAAAACTTCACTGAATGAGAAAATGTTTTAGATGAATTTCAAGTCTACAATGTTTTTTTTTTTTTTTTTTTTTGAAAAAGGGTCACACTCTGGTTTCCAGGCTAGAGTGCCGTGGCTTCAGCCTAGCTCACAGCAACCTCCAACTTCTGGGCTCAAGCAATCTTCCTGCCTCAGCCTCCCGAGTAGCTGGGACTACAGGCATGTGCCACCATGCCTGGCTAATTTTTTCTATATATTTTTAGTTGTCCAGATAATTTCTTTCTATTTTTAGTAGAGACGGGGTCTCGCTCTTGCTCAGGCTGGTCTCGAACTCCTGAGCTCAAACAATCCACCCGCCTCGGCCTCCCAGAGTGCTAGGATTACAGGCGTGAGCCACTGCACCCGGCCTAAGTCTACAATGCTTCTAAGGAATAAAAGGATACTGAATATATTTTCTAGGACATGTAATCCCAGAGAATAAAACTAGCAAATGTAAAACAGATTAATAAAAAGAATGGTTACAGAAAATGTGATCTTCTGCACTAATCTATCAAACTTGAGGTTGAGTGTATCTAATGTTGTTTGTTGACATTAATATCCTAGTGAGATTTTAAACTAAAAGAAACTTAATTTTCAAGCCAGCAAAGTTTACGTGGCTATTGACACTAGGCTAATGGGCTATTTGATAATATTAAGGAATTATTTTATTTTGTTAGGTGGGACAGAATGGTATTGTCATTATGTCTAAAAAGCACCTATTTCTTAGAGCTATATATTGAAATATTTATGGGTGAAATGATACTATGGAATTTACTTCAAAATAAGCAAGTGTGTTGCAGGAGAGCGAAGCTGGAGGAATAGTTGGGAGCACAGATGACACGAGATTGGCCATGGGTTGATAATTACTAAAGTTGGACAGTGCAATGGTGGTACAAAGGTGTTCATTAATATAGTCTCTCTCTTTTGGTACGTATTTGAAATTTTATAAAATAATTTAAAAATGAAAATATGTGTTCCTGCCTTCTGCTACACAATATACATAGTATAGTCCACCATGGGCAGGAAATTATATTAATAATAAGATGTGGTTTCCAACTTCGAGGAATTCCCAGTTTAAAAGGAGGCAGGCACGAATAAATACAGTAACAGCAGCATGACACACAGGCACAGCGAGAGGCAGGCCCAGGCTCACAGGGCATTCCGGGATGGCATGAAGGCTTTCATTCTTTCTGGAGAAGATATCTTTTATGACAATAAAGAAAGCAGGATGATAGTACTTTCAGTTTTGTTTTGCAGCAGAGAGAGATTGGGGGTGGAGTAACTGGATGAGGGAATGCCAGGCAGGGAACAACATGAGCAAGAGGGCAAAGTCCTGAGAAACAACACTGTGTGTGTGTGTGTGTGTGTGTGTGTGTGCGCGCGCGTGCGTGCGTGTGAGAGAGAGAGAGAGAGAGAGAGAGAGAGAGAGAGAGAGAGCGCGCGCGCGCGCGTCAGGGGAGACTGGCCAGGTAGGACAGGGCCAGGTGGTGGGTGTCTTGCAGACCTACGGCTGACAGAAAGCTACTGGAGAGGAGTGACGTGGTCAGACTGACGTGAGGGACAGGCAGCGAGGAAGGTGCGTGGTCCAGGTAAGAAGATGAGAGCTCGCTCAGGGCGCTGGCACTGGGACAGGGTGGGGAGGAGAGGCTAGACATGAGCAACATTTAAGAGATAAAAATCAACGGCATATATGATTTACAGTCAGGAGTCAGTGGGGTGACTGAATGGATGGGGCACGGAAATAAAAACGAAGGGAATTCGGGAATAGGATTAGTGCAGCAAGAGTGGTGATCTGAGTGAGCCTGAAGTGCCTGTGAAGAAACTAAGTAAACTGTCCAGCTGTGATTAGACACAGACGGTATCAAATTTGAGGTTTGAGTGGCATGGTCAAGCTGCAGATATAGATTTAAAATCACCGGCATACACGTGGCAATAAAAAATTGAGATTGTGCAGCCTAAGGAAACAGGCTGGAGATGGAGTGACGTGGGAATACTGGCACTCAAGAGGCGGGATGGGGAGGGGACACAGGAGGACCGCTGGAGAGGGCAGCGGAGAGGCAGGTGGAATCCCACATGTCCTACAACAAACACCCTTCTGGAAACGTTCAGCAAGAAAAGCAGGCACTGAGGCCTCTCTAAAAAGCAAAGCGCACAGGGCAAGGGCAGAGTTTTCTATTTTTGTACCTCCAAGGTCCCTAGCCCAGGAATGTGCACACACTAGCGAGGGAGTGACTGTAACGAGAGAGAGGGCACGCAGAGGTGGCGGCGTGGACGGAGGAGGACTCCTCTCCAGGAGCTCTGGCCAGAGGGATGCAGAGAGCAGTGTCACAAAAGTCAGCCAGGTGAAGAAAAAGGAGTAATAAGAGGTTAAAGTTTTGCTCATTTTACAACTACAAAAAAATGAACTCTCCCTACCCATTTTTGTTCCTTTCCCATCTATGGAAGTCTGCAATGAAATACTAGTAACTGATATAATTTTTCTTGAAACTTTATTTCAAATGAGGTTCATCTTAAAATTTTGCTACATACTTTAAGGATGCTCAACACTTACAATAAAGTCACATGTAAAATGGACAACTACACATATTGAGGTAAATATCACACAGAAGTAACAGAAAAATAGGATCTTGGGCTAATAGGAATGAAAAACAATGAATATTACATTTGCCTCTGAGCTTCCTGGCAACACAGATCATACAAGAAATCCAATAGTTTCCAAATATCTTATTTTATGAAAGAAAACATGCCAAAGTCTCCAAGAGAAAAATCCTGAGATGAAGGATCACATGGATGCTTATCAGAGAAGGCAATAATATACTAGTTACATACGCAGAGACACACTCACCTTCACATTTGAAGATGAATGTGTATGTGTGTGTGTATATACACATATATAAGTGTACTTTGAAGATGTGTGTATATCTGCGTATTTTCGCATATATTCAAACAAGGTTTTGTAAAGATGTAGGAAGGCCTGATTCCCATGTAGTGATTTCTTACTAGAATAAAAGACGAATCAATAACTTGTAATTCAGCAAAGATAACTCTATTGGGTGCTTAGCTAACTCCACTGGGAGCCAGTCTAAGTATATCTTGCTTCCTGGTATTCTAATCTTATTTAAGGAGAAAGCTTAGAAAAACAATGATAGCGAGCAATAAACTACTTAGGAAAATCAGCACCATATCTGTTTGTCCTAGAGACACAGTATTTTGGTGCCAGGAGAAAGCAAACTTAACTAAATTCCAGAACTATGGGATGCTCCCAAAATTATAAAGAAAAATTATAAACATATTGAAAAAGGTGTAAAATAAAGAGACAAACTCAATTATGTACTCCGCTGCCTTTACGGGACTTAACTTTCAATGTTTATACATATAATAGCTTCTTAGTTCTCCATCAATACTTGGTAAGCAACAGGAAAAACATGCATGTGGGTTTGGATGATCAACTTATCAAAAAAATAAAATCTTCAAAATAAGTTCACATGGAACAATCAGATTTAAATGTATAGTCCTCTTACCGGGTTTGTAATTGTGATGATTTCTCCCTCATTAACCGTCAGTTCATTATTTCCAGGTTCAGCAGCAAAGTCATACATAACCCGAGCCTGTTGGTAATGGAGAGGAAAAGGGGAAGTTACTGATGTAAACGCAGCAGTAAAAAAACCAAACGTTTCCAGTTCACTCTGTGAACATGCTGGCATGAACGTGACAGTGGATGTGGATGTTCTGGAAGAAGGGAAGACACGGTACCAAAACAATTCACCAGCTATACCGAGAAGAAGAGTAACAGTAACGGCGACAGCCCTGTTCTACTCTGGAAGCGGAGAAGGTTTCTGGCAGCTGCCCACACTGCATTTAGAGATCAGCCCTACAAAAAGTAACTCAAAACACGCCTACTTCATTAACAAAAACAACAAAAAATGTATGCTCTTCCTTTTAGGAGGCAAAAAATGCAATGAAATACCAGTAATTGATACAATTTTTCTTAAAGCTTTATTTCAAATGAGGTTCATTTTAAAATTTTGCTACATACTTTAAGGATGCTCAACACTTACAATGAAGTCACATGTAAAAAGGACAACTATACATATTGAGGTCAATATCACACAGAAGTAATGAAAAAACAGGATCTTGGGCTAACAGAAATGAAAAACAATGATACTGTTCATTCTGGGAACACTCGCTCTTAGGAACTGAGGATACAGACATACGCATACACACATATGTAAGATTCATACATATTTAGAAGAATCCCTTGCTATTAAAACTCTTACTACTCCTTATCTAGAATTAGCCGCTGGGATGAATTTTGATAATGCAGTATCCCTTGCCATGTTAACTCAGAAATTTAAGATTGGGGTACATATACCTTCCACCTATTCCAAGATAACCCGGCTGTAAAAAATACATATGTATAAAATATTTTACATATACCTTTATAATATATAATACATACACACATTTTAAAATCCATTTCAAATTCTAAATAATTGTCTTTCAGGGACTATCTTCCAGAATTCCATCCAATAAACTGGAGATCACATGTGCCTAGGAAACATATGGTCTGTTTGGAAAATAACTGTTTATCCTAAAAGGCAAATTCAAGTTTACCTACAGGACTAGTCAAACGGGACTAATGGAGCTGTATTAATTTCACAAATATTTACTGAGCACCTACCATGAGGCAAGAACCTGCAAGGCACTCTTGCTTGCCACTGCCCTTTCTACATATTTGCTTAATGATGCCTAAAATTCTTTTAACAAGGGTGAAGGATTATCTAGTGATAAAAGATAAAGAAAAAACCCAAATACTATTTTGAAATACATAAAAAATAATAATATGGACTGATGGACAAATATGTGATCTAGCAGGTAATGTGAAATGTTATTTACACAATCTAGATAGTGGCTTTATGGTGTTCAATGGAAAATTACTCCAACTTTTCCACAAGTTTGAAATTTTCCCTAAAAAAATGTTGGCGAGAGACAAATAGCGTAGAGTCTGTTGATCAAGAAATCCCATCAGTGCCTTCTTTCTGCACAGTGAGAGCTGGCAAGGGGATCAGAGAACAGACCATGGGCAGTGCAAACTATAGCAGGTCTTACACAGGACTAGGAGGTCGTGCTGAGGTATTTTCCTCACACAGCTGCAAAGTAGATAGAATGCTGCTTGTCATGTGGTGGAGTATTTTTTAAAAACATGTCACATCAACCTCAATCCTTCATGCAATGAGGACAGACGGGAGATAATGCATGAGACGGCTCTGTTGGAAGGAAGTGAGCGTCACCCTGGAGAGAAGCCCAGTGTGCCAACAGCCAAGCTCCACGGTGGCACAAGGAACCTGCTGTTTTGTTATTGTTCTTAGGAATCCTGTTTAAATTTTTTAAAATCCAGCTAAATCCAATTAGTTTCCAAATATAGAACATCTCAGCCTCTTGTTTACTAAACTTACAATTTTGTGAAATTGAATGCAAAACAAGTCAAAAATACAGAAATGGAAACTCCTTTACACATTTAAACACTACTGCACATTTGCTCACTGCTATGGTTTGAATGGTTTTGGTCGCTCCAAAACTCAGGGTGACACTTAATCCCCAATGCAGCTGCGCTGGGAGGTGGGGCCCACTGGGAGGTGTTTAGGTCACAAGGTCTCTGCCCTCATAAACGGATCAATACCACCATAAAAAGGGCTTGTGTGAGGGGGTTCAGTCTCTCCTGCTCTTCTGTCATGTGAGGACACAACGTCCCACCCCTGGAGAGGATGAAGTGCTCAAGGCAGCATCTTGGAAGCAGAGAGACCAGGCCCTACCCTGCCAGCGCCTTTAACTTTCCAGCCTCCAGAACCGTGAGAATAAATTTCTCATTTTTACAAATTACCCAGTTTCAGGTCTTCTGTTACATATAGCAGCACGAAACAGACTAAGACACTCACAGAAAAATGTTTATAAACATTGTAGGTTTACTTAAAACACTGAATTAAGACTTAAAAAAAAACCTAAGATGCTCCTTAAAAATTAGAAGTGAGAGTAATTTTGGAGAACAAAAGGATTTAATAAGCATATCTGCAAATGAGCATAACAAGTCAATAGAAAAAAAACCTGATCACTTAGCCTAGAGAAGATAAAGCTTCAGTAAGACTGGGAACCTTTAGCACTGAACACCTCTGGGCACCGTCTGCCAGCCCACCTCCTCTCTTTCCTGTCCTTGCACTTGGCCTCCACCTGTTTTTCTCTCTCTCCCTTTATCGCTCCCCACTTTTCCCTCTGGTTCACCACTGACAGTGTCCCAGCAGAGACGCTGACCTCAACCCCAACTGCCAATCAGCCTATTCCCCATGTGGCCTTTGAGAAAAAGAGTCCACTTTCCTATACTGCCTTTTCCAATGTTAGCTATACTAAGAAATGACTCTTCAACTATCTTCAAGAGCTAAATTTCCACATAGTTCCTGGTCAGCAGGTAACTTCAAACTCTATGTTCAACACATACTGTTAACCACAATCCCTTCAACAGCAGTTTCAAAAAGTATTACAGATAATGTGAATGGCTAGTAGATATCAATCTTATATTTCTGTTCCAGTAACTACCAGTCCAGTTACTAGTAAAATAAACATCAGCAGATTCAAAGCTCTCAAAGTAAATGCTCTGGACACTGGAATACTGAGTGTGCCACCACATAGCTGTCGATCCATCATCCTTAACACATACCTCCTCCTTTTCTGAGACGACAGAGAGTATGAAAACATTCATTCTTTTTGACCTATGTTATATACATCTGTTATTTTGCCTGCCCTACATCCCTTCCTTTGGAAACTGGATAATCAGAGCTTTCTCGGACTTCTTTGATATGGGTGCTGGCGAATACGTCTTCCTCTCTGGTATTGTTGTCAATGGTTAACCAGCTGGGGTACAAAGAGAGTCTGTTTGAAAAATGAAGTCAATTTATCGTAGAATGACAAACAGAAATGGCGTCCTGAAGAGATCAGCTGAAGGACAAGACTGATACTCATTCTCCCCTGGAAGACTTAGTTACAGGAGGCAACGTATCTCCTTTTGTGCTTAAGCTAATGTGAATCCAAGTTCTGCCACTTGCAATCTAGAGAAGCCAAGTTAATATGAACCAATAATCCCAAACCAAAAAATTTATCAACGAAACATTCTAAATAAAGAAAATAATGGATTTAAGAACTATGTTGCTGTATTATTATGCAAAAAAATGAAAACAAACACAAAAAATTAGATCCTAAAATGAATAATAATAAAGAATTAAACAGTTCAAAACAGAAAAAAAAAAAACCCTGGCAATAAAAAAAGTTCATACAGGGGTTAGAATGAAGAAGCCAACCCCCCATTCTCAAGTAGCTGCTTCTTTGGTTTTACATAAATCATAATTAAATCTTAAGGAAAAGCAATAAATCTTCGGCAATGTTGCTCTCCCACCTTTAAAATAGAGAAGCTCAATTAAAAAGTAACATACGCAAATCTTCAGAAATTCAAGGGAAAGAAGGATTAATTTGCCACCCTTGAGAACTGAAGTTTTGCATGTATGATAGATCATATTTCTATATAACTAGTTTACCTCTTTAAATGGCAAGCCTGTTTTACTTAAGCACATTCACAGGACTTATAAAATCTTACGATATTTAATGCCTTCCTCAATCTCATCTTTACCTGTCAAGATTAGAAGAAACAGAACTTAGTCTACTAGACCCTGAGCATCATTATAATATCAATATATGTTGATGTATTTGTCCTTATGCTAAATGGCTAAGGCTTAAATGCTTTTCAGTATACAATAGTCCCCCCTTATCCGTGGCTTCAGTTACCTGCAGTCAACTGTGGTCTGAAAACATTAAATGGAAAATTCCAAAAATAAACAATCATCAATTTTAAATTGCATGCCATTCTGAGTAGTGTGATGAAATCTCACGCCATCCCACCCAGGATGTGAATCTTCCCTTTGTCCAGCATATCCAAGCTGTAGATACCACCTGCCCAGCAGTCACCTAGTAGCCATCTCAATTAACAGATCAACTATCACATATCACGGCACTTGTGTTCAAGCCACCCTTATTCTACTTAATGGCCCCAAAGCTCAAGAGTAGTGATTCTGGCATTTTGTTATAATTGTTCTACTTTATTATTAGTGATTACTGTTAATCTCTTACTGTGCCTAACTTATAAACTTTATCATAAGTATACATCGGAAAAAACATAGCAGGTATAGGCTTCACTACCATCCATGGTTTCAGACATCCACTAGAGGTCTTGGAACATATCCCCCTTGGATAAGGAGGAACTACTGTATATGAATCTGTGATTTCCACAGCCTTTGTTAAATCCTGGCCTGTGCTTTTTTCACTACTATTTTAACCAAATATAGACTCTTACTGCTGTAAAATTTCATCTTGTTAGATCCAACCTATTAAGATCTTTGTGGGGCCGAGCATGGTGGCTCACATCTATAATCCTGGCACTTTGGGAGGCTGAGGTGGGAGGATCACTTGAGGCCAGGAGTTCGAGACCCATCTGGGCAAAGTAGGGAGACCCTATCTCTACAAAAAAAAAAAAAAAAAAAAAAAAATCACTGAGCATGGTGGCAGATGC